AAAGTGTCAGACAATTAAACTATTCAAGAAAAAATATCAGAAAATTCAATTACTGAAGAAAAATTACAATCGATAAGGCAGTAGGGCCAATTAGATGCCTTAGCCTGTTCCGAAGGACGAAAATTACTACAAGTGTTTCTGGGAAATTATTTATATTCTTATTCTTTTGTTTTCCTTGCAGTCGAAATGAAAAGCATAATATGTTATAAAACACGTTAATTGTCACTTGAACTATTGCGACTTCATTAAAATATGCTTTGACTGCTTAGATGTCTTAGCCCATAAGTATGGAAATCCACTTTAAAAACAAGTCTATAACCTGATGAAAATAAAGCAAAGTAATAGGTATAATTGAGCCAAGTATACGTTTTTAAATAACAAATTTTGTTAGCACATTTGACACTTTGGATGATAAGGGGAGAGGAGCCTGTGAACCAAAAGAAGCAATTAATAATTTGGAAATTTCACAAACGGTAGGCTCTTTTATGTTGTCGTGGTGAATGTTCACTGATCCCACGGCGCCGACTCAACCGGCGAGAGGGAAACCCGGGGGGGTTTTAGTGGGGTAGGCCCTCCAGTCTGGAGGGAGAGTCCCCACATAACCCCTGAGTCTCCCTGGGCTCAGGGGTATCCATAAAAAAAAAAGGTTCTTATGTTCAGGTAGGTATGGAATTTTACTTTTGAAACAGCCTCGAAAATATCGTTCATCCCCGAATTTTCGCGACAGCACGAAGTCTCTATTTTTTTCCCGGGACGTGGAAATGCAGCAAAACTGAAGGTCCTAGTAAACTCCATCCAACGATTAATTATTTTTTTATTATTAATAATTTTGGCTTGGATACAAGTTCTTTGAGCCATATTTTCGTTTATGTTTCTGTATATATGGCTGCCACAAAGAGTGCCTATCCTCTTTGAGGTGGCGTGCTTGGATTGACTCGGGATTTCTTAGAACGGACCGATACGGGTATTTTAGTTCGAGATTCGTATAATTTCGCGTTTTAATCTTCGATTAAGGTACAATAGCACTATCCTACTCCACTTTAACTAGATTTCATAAAATAATTGAAAGTCAAAATAAAAACGACACTTTTCCCTCCAAAAGGCCCGAGCGAATCCAACCATTAATTTAACTTATTCTAAACAATTAGTGATGTCCTTATGCGTTTTCGATTCGATTATTTTATAACAATCGATTTTATTTATGAAGATCTTTTAATCTGTGATTTAAAGTGAGCTAGTTCAAAAAAGAAGATATTGTCTGATTTCGATCACGATCCCAATCAGACAATATCCCAACATCACAATGTTGCGTTTGATAATTTGTGTACTCAAGAATTAGTAATTAATGTTAATGAGGATTCAAGTGATGGTTGACGTTCATATGGAAAAGAATCCGACTATTCATTATAATAAACAATAAGAATTTATTATTAATAATTTATTTCATTTCAGTATAGTTTATTGGACAGGTTGAATAATCTTCGTTACATAATCTGTTTGCTACAATAAAAAAATAAAGTTCAGGAAAAATTGCATTTTTTTGTCTATGGTTGTTTATCAATAATTACGGAACGTCAGAGTCATGCGTATGTCAAAAGTTAATAGTTGGACGGAGTGTAGCGAGTATGTTTGCGTGAAAACAACAGGAACATTATGTCTAATATCTCTGTCGTCTTCTCAACTCTGTAGCGTGCAGTTCGAAGAAGACGGGGTTGTCATCCGATGCTCCTCCAGCCAGCATGTACTCCAAATGTCGGATGTAGCAGATTGCTATTCTGAAAGAAACAAAACATTTTAAAGAAAAAACTCACACCACACTAACATCATCATAAAACAAATAGTTGCTATATAATAACTATATATCTCTCAGGCCTTAGACGTGTACGTCTCCATCCATGTTGGCTCTATAAATATGCGCCGTTAAGATCCGTCGAAACCTATTCTATCCTGGTTACTAATCATCTTGCCACAACGCTCTCTTACAACACAGTTCTACATACGTCTTTATTAGTAAGATCGAACATAGTGCACATAGCTCTCTTTTCTCTACAGCATTCCCTGTACTCGTTGTTTAAGGTGTGTTACGGTTAGCTAGAGGAATAATATGGTAGTGCTTTTTTTATAACATCAAGTGACTGGACGAACAAGTCGGGCGTCTGATGGTAATGCTATGCCTGTCCATAACGGTTATAGTGCTACTCAGACCTTTAAAAGAGCAAAGATCTGAGGGGCACTACCACTGCGCCCGTCACCCTAAGACGTAAGTTGACACGTCCCACGTGCCTGTAATTTCACCAGCACCATTAGGTACTCTTCAAAACCGGAACACAGTAATGCTGACATTACTGCTTGGCGGCAGAAATAGGTAAGGTGGCAGTACTATCCTGGACGAACACTTTCACAAGGAACTACTGCTACTAAATAGATACTAGTAGAATGAACTCTTCCTCTTTCTTCCATTTGCCCTGATTAGTAGGTACTATTACATGAATACCGAACGTAAGGATATTATAATTACCTCTGACAGGTGCCAGTCAACACGGCGTCTCGACACAACGCTGCGTGGTCGTCCGCCCGTTTATTTCTGATTCTTTTATTAAAG